AAATGAAAAGGTATTATCTACTACTCAAAAGGATTCTCATATTATTAATATTGGTACATTTGTTGAAGAAACCGAAAGTAGAATGAGACAAATTCTTGATGCTATTTATTTCAGCAAGAGCAAAGAAATTACCAATAATTGCAGATGCCAAATTGGAGTTTCAGAACAAAACAAGAGAACATTAATGACCAAACAAATTAACACCCAACTTAGAGGAAGACATGATGATGATTAAGAAGTAATCAATCTCTTTTTCACTCATTTCATTTTCACTTTTCATTTTTTTAATCTTATTTCAATCTTATTATTTATTTTTAAGTTCAACTTCAAAAATATTTCTTGTTTTTTAAGAAAATTAAGAATTCTGAATAAATAAAACGACTCAAAAATGAATAAAATAATCAAATTCACCAATACTGATTTATGTTGAATTGATAAATCAGTATTGGTGAATTTGATTATTTTATTCATTCACCAATACTGATTTATGTTGAATTGATAAATGAAAGTACTTCCCCACTATAGAAAAGTCTATTTAAACATTCAAAAAAAGAAAAAGGTTTAGTAGTATTTTTAATAGAATGATTATGTAAAAATTTTAATCAAGTAAATTTCATTTTTGTAGATTAAAGATGTTGTTAATACTAAATTTGTAATAAACAAATTGTTTTTATAAAAACAGACTAGAAAAAAAGAAATGGGAAATACACACAGTTCACCAACAAATCGTTCCATACTTCAAATAAAATATCAAAGTATTGAACAACTTGAGAATGAGCTGAACCAAAAAGATATTAAGTTTGAACAATTAATGAATATTAAAATAAATAATAACAAATAACTTAGAGGTGTAACTGTATTTATTGGAATTGACTATACGTCGAGCAATGTTGAATCGGGAAAAAGAACTTATGGAGGAAAAAATCTTCATTTGATAAGTGAAGGATTAAATCCATATCAAGAAGTGATTTCTATCATTTCAAAATATTTCAAAAAGTATACTAAAGAGATTTATTTGTACTCATTCGGTGATTCTATATCACGAGGGACCTCAACATGTAATATGAACCAGAAAGGTGAATCATTCCAGACTTATGAAGAAGTTCTAGAAACATACAAAATTACAACTCCTTTAGTTACATTATCTGGACCAACTAACATCTCGCCATTAATTGAAAAAGCAATTGAAAAAAAAAATCAAACACAAAACAAAACTGTCGTCATTTTGTTTGTTTTGTTTATAATTATTAGAAGAAGACAAAAATCACCAATAGATTATGTGATGGACAAGTAACTGATAATAAGACTACAATTAAAACTATTAAAAAGGCATCTGGAAGTGGGATTGAAGTTATCTGTATTGGAATCGGAGATGGGCCATTCGAGACATTTAGAAATGAAATTACTGAAAACAGTCAAAATTTCCATTTTATTGAATATTCAACTCTAAGTGAAATGTTCAAAGAAGAAAAAGAAGAGAAAATGGGAATTGCTACATTGCAGTATTTGGTCAATTTACAAAACTAATTGACTAAGTTTTTTGTTCAACCAAGACAAATATTACTACTTCATTTTGTAAAGAAGAGTAAAAAGGAAAGACTAAAAAAACAAGAAAATAGTGAGTAAGAGCAGAGTTAGTTATTTGTTTTATTGTTAGTAGTACTTATAATTTTTCGTAAAATACCTGAAATATTAAAAGAAAACAAGTGAATCAATCAAGTAAGTTAAAAAAGAAAATAAGACAATAACACTTCATATTTCTATCTAGTGAATAACTCACAAGTGGTAGTAATATTAATAACACTGAGAATAACTGTACTGAAGAAGATAATAAAAGCAAAGGACATATTGAGATGGAAGCATTTGAAGTAAATGAAGGATATGTAGAAGAAGAGATTGAACCATTACATAAGAAACATCCTAATTGTTGTCAAATTGCTTTTATGCAAAGGGCACCAAAATACATTAGAAAAGGAAGTTTAAGTGTTAAAGAAATTGGTCAATTACCACATACACTTGATATTGAAATGACTCATAAAAAAAATTACAAAATGTTGGGAAAAAGAAAAAGAAAAGCATCCTAAAAGTCCATCATTATTAAGAACATTATTCAGAATGGAATGGGGTCATTTCTTGATTTGTTTTATTGCAATTTTAATTTCTCAACTTTCAACATTAGTTATTCCTGCTATTATTCAATTTATGGTAGAATGGGTTGCTGAAGATGAACCAGAAACATGGAAAGGAGTAGTGTATTTGATTGTTATTGCATTTATGCAAATTCTAACATCATTTTGTTTTCAGTTATCAATTAAATGGATTTTTGTGTTGTCATTAAGACTTAGAAATGGATTAATTTCTATGATTTATGAAAAGTCATTAAAATTAAATTCAGCATCAATAGAAGAAACAGGCAAGTTAGTTAACTTAATGTCAAATGATGCAATGCTTTTTGTTGAACAATTACCATTAGTTATTACTGGGTCATGTGCACCAATATTATTTTTAGTAGTATGTATAATTCTTCTTTGTATTATTACATATTGGGCTTTTATTCCAATTGGAGTCTGTTTATTATTTGTATGTGTTAATATGTTATCAGGTAAAATGATTGGATTTTTCTTCCGTAAAACACAAAGCGCTACTGATAAACGATTAAACTTTTTAGGAGAGATTTTAAGAAGTATTAAATTTATTAAATACAATGCTTGGGAAGAACCACTTCATAAAAGATTAAGGAAATTAAGAACAAAGGAATTATGGTGTATGGGAGGTACAATGTCAGCACGATCATCGTTAGTTACATTAATGTTAGAACTATCACCATTCATGGCATTTATATTATATCTTGTTTATATTCAAATTGACTATCATTTAGAAGTTGGGAAAGTTTTTACTTGTATTGCTTATTTTAATGCAATTAGAAGACCATTTATGAATTTTGGATACTTTGTTTCATGTGTAACAACATTTAAAGTTGCTATTGGAAGACTCAAGAATTTTTCTTGACACCAGAACTTCAACCACAAGATAGAACATCAGCACCAAATTCAGAATATGCAATTAATATGAAAAATGTTAATTATAATTTCCCTAATGGAGAAACAGCATTTAGTTGTGATGAATTAAAAATTAAGAAAGGAGAATTAGTATGTGTTTTAGGTAGTGTTGGAAGTGGAAAGTCATCATTTTTATTATCAATATTAGGAGAATTAGAACAAAGTAAAGGAGAAACAATTATTAGTGGAAATATTACATATGCATCACAAACACCATGGTTAATGAATACTACAGTAAGAGAAAATATCTGTTTCTTAGAGAAATTTAATAGAGAAAAGTATAATAATGCATGTACATGTGCATGTTTAAATAGAGATTTACAAATATTAAGAGGAGGTGATATGTATGAAGTTGCAGAAAGAGGAGCTAATTTATCTGGTGGACAAAGACAACGTATTTCTATTGCAAGAGCATTATACAACTCAAAAGATATTGTTATTTTTGATGATCCATTATCAGCAGTTGATTTTCAAGTTGGATCATTTATTTTTGAACATGCAATGGAAGAATTGTTAGGAAATAAAACACGAATTATTGTCACAAATCAAACATATTTTATTGATAAAGCAGATAGAAAATTATTGTTATTGAAGATAAGAAAAT